CCAGCCCCTAAGACACTTCCCTTATCTATAGATACGTTTGAGTTCCAGATGGTGGTGGGAACAGGAGGAGAGCATGGAGGAGCACTTACCTAATGTTTCAAGGCCCAGATCTGAAAAGTAGCACACACCATCCCCCCTTCAGGATTCACTAAGTCACATGGTTCACATAGCCACAAGGGAGGCTACGGATGTAGTTTCTGGTTGGCTACAAATTAATCATTAGCTACAATTGAATTATTTGGGAAGAATGGGAGAATGAATCTTAGTAGACAATTAGTGGTGTCCATCCCATAGGGTAGGCTCATGAGTCCTTGTTGGAACATGGGTGAGATGGTCAACATCTGTCTTCTCCCAGGAGCTCTCAGTCCGTATCCCTTGGTACAGAGCCACTGTCCCTTGCACCTGGGACATTAGTTCCATTCGCCCTGCCTGGCAGAAATCATCTTCTGACATAAGTGGCTCCCAGCCAAGCAAGAAAAGAGGACACAAACATAAAGGGAACTACTCCCTGGTTTACAACAGCCCTCCACCTGCCCCGTGGTTGAACTTACATTCCACCTCACACCAAGTGTACCTCTCAAACTCACACACTGGGTGAAAATTCTAGACAAGACCTAAAACATCACCTTTTATGGATAGTCTAAACAATCTGCATTCCTTAAGGAAAATTCAGGAGCTCTGGTGGTGCAGTGGTTAAAGGGCCCGGCTGTTAACAAAAAGATCAGTGGTTCCAACCTACCAGCCGCTACTCTGGAGAAAGACGTGGCACTCTGCTTCCATAAAGATTACAGCCTTAGAAACCCTATGGGGCAGTTCTACTCTGTCCTATAGGGTTGCTATGAGTCGGAATCGACTCAACGGCAACGAGTTTCAAGGAAAATTCAAAAGCAGACCGTTTGCGCAAAAGTTCAGCTCCTTAGACCACTAAGAAACATCCTCACGTCCCCTTTTCCCTTGTTGTTGTTGTTAGGTGCAGTCGAGTGGGTTCCAACTCATAGCGATCCTATGTATGACAGAACAAAACACTGCCCAGTCCTGTGCCATCCTCATGATCGTTGTTATGCTTGAGGCCCTTGATGCAACCACTGTGTCAATCCATCTCATTGAGAGTCTTCCTCTTTTTTGCTGACCCTCTACTTTACCTAGCATGATGTCCTTCTCCAGGGACTGATCCCTCCGGATAACACGTCCAAGGTATGTGAGACAAAGTCCCATCATCCTTTCCTCTAAGGAGCTTTCTGTCTGTACTTCTTCCAAGACAGATTTGTTCATTCTGGCAGTCCATGGTATATTCAATATTTTTGCTAACACCATAATTCAAAGGCATCGATTCTTCTTCAGTCTTCCTTATTCATTTTCCAGCTTTCATATGCAAATGAGGCAATTGAAAACACTATGGCTTGGGTCAAGTCCACCTTCGTCTTCAAGGTGACATCTTTGCTTTTCAATACTTTAAAGGTCTTTTGCAGCAGATTTACCCAATGCAATGTGTCCATCGTTTGATTTCTTGACTGCTGTTTCCATGGGTGTCGATTGTGGATTCAAGTAAAACGAAATCCTTGACAACTTCAATCTTTTCTCCGTTTATCATGATGTGTATGCTTATTGGTCCAGTTGTGAGGATTTTTGTTTTCTTTATGTTGAGGTGTAATCCATACTGAAGGCTGTGGTCTTCGATCTTTATCAGTAAGTACTTCAAGTCCTCTTCACTTTCAGCAAACAAGGTTGTATCATCTGCATAAAAGCAGGTTGGTAATGAATCTTCCTCCAATCCTGATGCCACAAAGGGATTAGAAACTGGGAAACTTGCTGTACTGGTCTGTTACAACCTTAATCCAAGGGAGGGACTCTAATGGTGGAATTACAGGTTCGATGTAGGAGCAGAGATTGGAGACAGGTCAATGGAGAGCCCAGACTGTTCCCCACCACCACCACACCTAGCATCTGGCCTATATACAGTACATATCGCTCCACTCGGGGCTCAAGGTAGCAGCATATTCATCAAATAAGTCGATTTCTGTTACCTTCCAGGTAACCAGGGACCTCTCAGAGACAAGTCAGCCCTGTTTGTCATTAAATCACTTGTGACAATAAAGACAGAAATCTCAGGCCTAAGGGAGAAGAGACATGGGCAGGCAGGCATTGCTCTTTATGAAATAAAACCCACAACTTTGAAAGCTTGGCCCTGGAAGGAGACTCCAGGATCAGGAGACCAGCTCAGCCCTGCTAAGTCTCTGCTTTCCCCAAAGGGATATTTTAAGAAGTTATGGGGAGGGGGGTGGTAATGGAAGAGTGTGGGTATCCCAGAGCCAGGTGGAAGAGGACAGGTTCTGGCACAGAGTTTGTTCTGGAGAATTCCACTTGCCCTGGAGCTGCCATTTTCCTATAGCCCTGCAAGAGCTGTGTTAAGTGGAGCCAGGTCTAGGGTTGTGCAGTTAGCAGGTGAGACTTTAAATGCACTGCACAGGTTTAACCTTCCTGTTATGGAAATTTTCAAATGTACAAAAAAGTAAGACTAGCATAATAAACCCCCAGGTACCTATCACCCAGCTGCAACATCTTATTTGCCTATCTTGCTTCTCTCTCTCTTTGGTGAGTATTTTAAAGCAAGTCACAGATGTCATAACATCTCACCAGTATACAAACCCCGCCCCCTGCCAAAAAAGAAAAAACCCAAACCAGTTGCCATCCAATCCATTCGCACTAGTGACCACAGTGACCCCATGTGTTTCAGAGTAGAACTGTGCTCCGTAGGATTTTCAATGGCTGATTTTTTGGAAATAGATCACCAGACCTTTCTTCCGAGGCACCTCTGGCTGGACTATTTGAGCCATCCAGGGACTCCCACCAGTATACTAAATGGTACTAATTAATTGGTTTTTGAAATATTAAAAACTGACTATTACCCTCAACCATGTTGTTGTTAGTTGCTGTCCAGTCTATTCCCACTCACGGCGACCCCATGGGTGCAGAGTAGAACTGCTCCACGGGGTTTTCAAGGCTGTGAAGCTGTGAACTTTCCTGTCTTTTTCGAGGTGCCTCTGGGTGGGTTCAAACCATTAATCTGCGCGCTTAACCATTTACGCCACACAATGACTCCTATCTCCACGACACCAACCAATTTTGAGCAAGGAGGTTGAGCCCCGCTGGTATTTATAGTCCAGCCCGGGGGTTTCACAGTGACTAGAACTCAGGCTCTGGAAGAAGAAGCAGTTGGAACTAGACAGGGAACAAAAGATAGCCCTCCCGGACTCCTGATGAGTGATGGATCTGGGTGACCGACTTGACTTCCCCAGGCTCGGTCCCTGGGAGAGGGCAGGGGGCCCTGCACTCCCTGCAGGCGGGAAGAATCCGGGCCCTTTCCCGCGTGCACTTCAGGAAGCGTAGTCTGGGTGTGCGCCGCGCCAGGAATGCAGTGGGGCCCCAGGACGTGCAAGCTGCGGTAACTGGAGTCGGGTGTCCCTGGCGGGCCGGGGTGCGGGGAGGGGGCCTGGGTGGCTTTGGAAAGAGGTGGATGCCTGCACCCATGACCGGCGGAATAACCCGGGGCCGGGGCCGGGGCCGAGGCCGGGCTGGGGCAGGGGTCGCCCCGCCACCACCCCAGGGCCCCAAGTGGGTGCGGGCTGGTGCGGCTGGCGTGTCGCCCGTGCCCGAGGGGGAAGCAGGAAGTCTTCTCCTAGGGCGCGGCTGATAGAAACGGTGGGAGCAGGTGCGGCGCAGTGTGGTGCGGGCGGGCAGCCAGTGCAGAGGAAGCGGTGAGCGCTGGGTTGCCTTCGCGGCCCAGGAGCGCGGGCCCGGTTGCCGGGGCTTGCGGCAGCGCTAGCTAGGGGGCGGGGAGTCAATGAAATGGGAGGGGTGACGGGATGGTGGCAGGGGCGCTGCATTGAGGCTCAGGGAGCTCAGATCTTGGCCGGCTGGGAGGGTCTCGAATGGCGGTCAGCGCGGACAAGCTGAGTTCTGGAAGAGGCGGCGCGGCCTCCGGCCTCTGGGAGCGCTGACGGGGGTCTCGAGCTTGGGAGACGAACTGGGGGCAGTGAAAATGGGGGAAAGAAGGGTCTGCAACAAGGTTCTGGAACACTGAGCAGGGCTTGGTGGAGAGACGCAGGGCTGATAGTGAGTGGGTCTCTGGAAGCGCAGGGGCGCGGAGGCGCTGCCAAGGCTCTGGGGGCGCGGCCTGGCCGGGATGGTCCTGCCCCTTAGCCGAGTGGGGAGCTGGTGGCCCATGGAGAAGACGGAGCTGAGGGTGGGCGGGGGACGGGTCTAGAGCTCTTCCAGGAAGGCGGGCGCGGCTCAAGCACGCAGAAAAGTCTTCTGCGACTCCTGCGATCTCCCCACCATCTGCGGACGGCTGGCTGGGGGCCCCGACACGCGCCCTCCCTTCCGAATTCAGTTTTTCCGGGGCTGTGGCTTTAAGAGTGACGCGGGGCGTGCGGGCCCTTTAAGGGGTCGGGGGCGTGTCAGGAAATGAGTCTTGAGCCCGCCTCGCTGGCGGAGGTGGCGTCGGATGTCCTGAGGCTCCCGGTTCAAGCTGGCGCAGCATGGCCTGCACGGGCCTGTTCCGCATCCTTCGGACCCCTCCCTGGGCACCTCTGACACCCCCTACACCCCTGTTTCCTTGCACGCCTCCCTGCCCCAAACCCTCTCAGTGCCCTTTCCCCATAGTGTCCCTCCGCCCTTTTCTCGCACCTTCGCCCTCCATTATTCCCCCTGCTCCCTCTCCCTGCACCTTCTCCTTCCATTCTGTCCCCTCCCTTCTCCCCTCACGGTCATCTCTGCCCTGCCCCATTACCTTAGCCTGTCCCCACTCCTTCCCTGTGTCTTGTCTCATGAGCCCCGCGCAGGGTAGAAGCAGGTTGTAGAACAGCACAGCTGGACTCATCCCAAAGCAGAAGGACCCATGTGTCTCCCCCATCTGACAGTTGAGGGCTGCAGAAAGCAGAAGTGACCTTACTGTCCTGTACACCAGGGATTCAGGGTTCAGGCAGTGGGGTGACCCAGCTCCTCCGCTACCATGAACAGGGCGCCTCTGAAGCGGTCCCGGATCCTGCACATGGCACTGATGGCGGCCTCCGACCCCTCCGGAGAGGCCCAGGCCAGCGAGGAGAAGCCCTTCCTACTACGGGCATTGCAGATCGCACTGGTGGTCTCTCTGTACTGGGTAACTTCCATCTCCATGGTGTTCCTTAACAAATACCTGCTGGACAGCCCCTCCCTGCAGCTGGACACCCCCATCTTCGTCACTTTCTACCAGTGCCTGGTCACCACGCTGCTGTGCAAGGGCCTCAGCACACTGGCCGCCTGCTGCCCCGGCTATGTGGACTTCCCCACTCTGCACCTGGACCTGAGGGTGGCCCGCAGTATCCTGCCCCTGTCCGTGGTCTTCGTCGGCATGATCACCTTCAACAACCTCTGCCTCAAGTATGTCGGGGTGGCCTTCTACAATGTGGGCCGCTCGCTCACCACCGTGTTCAACGTGCTGCTCTCCTACCTGCTGCTCAAGCAGACTACCTCCTTCTATGCCCTGCTCACCTGCGGCATCATCATCGGTGAGAGGGCGGCCGGGCCACGGGGAATGGGGTGGGCTTGGGGGCCGAAACCCACAGAACAACCTTTCTGAGATCTTTGGACTTTATCTGTCCCAGCTCTCTTGGTGCAGCGGTCATATAAAGAAGAGTCTGGGGTCTAGGGAAAGCAAATGACTAGCCTAAGGTCCCCTGCAAATTAGAGGCCCAGCTAGTGCTAGAATAATAACTACAACAGCAGCAGTAGCAAAAGCAACTAACATTGACTGAGTGCTTACCCTGTGTCAGGCACAGATCTAAGCACTTCTACCCATGCAAATTCAACTAATCCTCATAAAGAAGTATGAGTATAATCCACATTTTACAGAAAAAAAACCAAGGCACAGAGGGGTTAAGTAACTTGTCCAAGGTCACACAGCTAATAAGTGGCAGAACTGGGATCTGAACTCAAGCTGTCTGGCTCCATAGTTCCCACACTTGACCACTATACTATGTTGCCTCTCAAGAGCCCAAGTGCCCTGACCCCGACCCAGTGCTTTCTAGAGGACCATGTATTTTTTAATTAATACATCCTCTGATCTTTCTGGCTCACGATAGTGCCTGAGACAGTGCCCAGAGATGTGCTTTGAGAGGTCTTAGCTGTCTTCCTGGGCTTGACCCTCAGAAATAATAATCATTGATGATGACACTGTGCTAATCATTTCACATACAGCATCTCCTGAGAGGTCCCCTGGGTGGTGGCATAACTGTGATCATCTCCATTTTACAAATGAGAACATAGGCTCAGAGAGGTTAAGTTACTTGCCCAGAACCACACAGCTAATAAGTGGTCCAGTTGGCCAGGCTGACAAGCCTCCTGGACCTGTGCTTCTACTGCTCTGTTCTTCTCCAGGGAAGATTTAGAACTGCACAATCCACTACAGTAGCCACTGGCCACATATGGCTATTTAAATTAGGTAAAATTAAATGAAATAAATTCTGTTGCTCATTCACTGGTTCTGTAGCCACATTTCAAGTGCTCAATAGCCACATGTGACTAGTGGCTCCCACGCTGGACTATGCATTACAGAACGTTTCTATCATCACAGCGTTTTATTGGCCAGCACTCTGGGTTGGAGAGCCCCCAGCATCCCATACCCTTGGGGTGCCTCTGTAGCTCTGTTGTCCAAGAATGTGATCTTGATGTGAATCTGTTCAGGTTTTCCTTGGTGCCAGAAAGTTCATAGTTTGGACTGCGTATTCTTCAGTGACGCCTCTGAGCCCCAGGCAGAGGTGCACTAGTTGTAGGAGAGGCCCATCCCATGCTACCTGTCCTAGAAAATGTTTCTGCTGGATCTGGGGCTGCTCAGTCTAGGCCCAAGAGGGAACGCTGGGCGAGGAGGGCAAGGTAAGCATGAGAGGAGCCAAGACACTCCTGGCAGAGCCCTCACACTTGCCCCCCTTCCCTCAGGGGCGCTGGAATGGGTGTCCCCTAGCCTCACTTCCTCTCTCTCCTTGCCAAATGAGATCTCCACTTCAGCCCTGCTGAGCCTTCCAGGACTGGAGGGAGACCCCTCCAGGTAGGAGAATTTACAGGCAAGAAGGTGTAGTCACTAGGAAACTGGGCCCATGTCCAGCAAGTAATCAAAGGAGCCAATGGTGAGATAGCTCCAGAGAACTGCTGGCCTGGTGGGACAGGGGGTCAGGGAGGCTGGTGCTCGTCCCTCACCTGCCCCAGGGCCTGGCCCGCTTTCCTGCCTGTGGGGAAGATGGGTCACAGGCAGGTGAGTGTTCCTGGCCTCCTCTCCCTGCCACCCCACGTCACATAGTGCCTTTCAAAGCTCCTTCTGGCCGAGAGTTCCTCTGGGGTCCGGAACCTTTAGGTTTCAGTCTCTTCTGGATCTGAAGGTAACCAGCCAGAGGGTTGGTGGTGCTTCTGGCTGAGCAGGTGAGGCGGTGGTGCAGCCGTCCCACACAGAGCAGATACATGCCAAGGCTATGCCAAGGAAAAGGAGAGGACTGTTTGTTGATTGCCTCGGAGGTAGTAGGTGCCTTGTCTTCTTTAATACTCATGCCGTTGTTAGTTGCCAGCAGGGTCGGCAACCCCATATACAATGGAACAAAATGTTGCCCAGTCCTGTGCCATCTTCACGATGGTTGGTATACTCGAGTCTGTTGTTGTGGCCACTGTGTATTTTGAGTGCCTTCCGACCTACGAGGCTCATCTTCCAGCACTATATCAAACAACATTCTGTTGTGATCCCTAGGGTTTTCACTGTCTAATTTTCAGAAGTTGATCGCCAGGCCTTTCTTTCTAGTCTGTCTTAGTCTGGAAGCTCCACTAAAACCTATCCACCATGGGTTAACCTGCTGGTATTTGAAATACTGGTGGCATAGCTTTTAGCATCATAGCAACACACAAGCCACCACAGTATGACATACTCAGAATACTCATAACAACCCTTATTCGTTCATTTATTCATTCAACAAATACTAATTGTAGCCAGGAGCAAGCCAGGCACTGTGACAGGCTGTAGGGATACAAGGCTGGACTTGGTTCCTGCACTCATGGAGGGTGTGTTGATGAAGGATGCCAGTAAATGACAGTTATGCTAGAGTGGTAGGGGTTGTGATGGGGACATAGAAGGTGCAGGATTGGGGAGGGGCAATCCAAGCAGGCTTTCTGGAGGAGGTGCTGCATGGGTGAAAGGGAAGGAGTGAGCAGAGAATGTTCTAGGCAGAAGGAAGAGCACATGTAGTTCTTGGCTGGGCCAGTACGAGCTCACAGACATGAGGCTGCCCAGTTAAGCTGACTCCACATAGTGCTGGCCCTGACAGTTGAGTCTGGACTTTTTCCCAAGGGCAGTGGGGGCTCACTGAGGGGCTTTAAGCCAGGACAGGGCCTGAGCTAATCTGCACTTTAGGAAGATCACCCTGGTGATCTTGCAAGGTGGACAGTAGATTGGTTGGAGTGGGGAAGTCAAGAAAGTGACCCAGATCTTTACAGATGAAGGAAACTGGAACTCAGAGAGGTTAAGTAACTTTCCCAGGCCACTCAGCTTTTGAATGACAGAGCCTAACTGGAGCCCAAATCTCTTTGACACCAAAGCCCCTGCTTTTCCCACGCCCCATGTTGCTGGATGCTGTGGCAGAGGATACAACGTGTATAAGGTTCAGCCCCTGCCTTCTGGAGTGTGGGGTCTACCTGAGGAGACCAGACTATCCCTGTGGGCAGGTGCCTAGCAGCCCAGGGCAGACAAGGGGTTTTGAAGGAAAACACGGGTAGTAAGAGGTAGGGAAGAGGTCTGAGTGCCAGGGTATCGGGAAAGGTCTTCCCTGGCAGAGGTGGACTTTGTTCTTAAAGGAGGAAGGAGGGTGTTTTCTGGTGCAGGCAGTGAACAAGGACACTGAGCCCCAGAGTGAGAAGCAGGGCGACAAGGGAGGCGACTCGGGGCAATCATGGGACAAAGAGGTGACAAGAGTGCAGGAAGCCCAGGGTGGGGTGCCAGGCTGAGGAGTGTAGCCTTGATGGTGGGCAGTGGGGGGCCATAGAGCCTCTATAACAAGGAAGTGGCATGAGAGTAGAAGTCTCAGAAACAGTGGCTGTCCCAGACAACTTCAGACCACAAATACTTCTACCTTACTGCTCACATGATTACATGGTATGTTCCCGTTTTAACAGAAGAGGAAGTTGAGGCTCAGAGATCTTAACTCACTTGCCCAAGGTCACCTTAAATCCTAAGCGGTACTCATCCTCCAGAATCTGCTCAAATGGCACTTTCCAGATGCCCCAGGCCAGCTGTCTCTGGTTAGGGGTTCTTATAGCACGCTGTACTGTTTCAGGGATCCTGCCACAATTGTAATTAAATAAGTAATTGGGAAACGAATTGCTTTAATGCCTTTTTCCTCTGCTAGAATGTAAGCTCCGTGAAGAGCCTGTCTTGTCCTGGGCCATTTCCCCAGCCCTTGCTACAGCCTTCGTGCGTAGTAGAGACTTTGGACATATTTGTTGGAGGGAGGAGTGGGGAGGGTGGGGCTGTGAGGGAAGCATTGCACAGGCCATGAACTTTGGTGTCAAGATTCTCCGTCCTTCCTCCTCCCTGTCATCATCCCTCTTCTCCCCACTGCAGGTGGCTTCTGGCTTGGCGTGGACCAGGAGGGGGCAGAGGGAACCCTGTCTTGGGTGGGCACCCTGTTTGGTGTGCTGGCCAGCCTCTGCGTCTCACTCAACGCCATCTACACCAAGAAGGTGCTTCCGGTGGTGGACGGCAGCATCTGGCGCCTGACCTTCTACAACAACGCCAATGCCTGTGTCCTCTTCCTGCCCCTGCTCCTGCTGCTGGGGGAGCTGCAGGCCCTCCGAAGCTTCACCCATCTGGGCAGTGCCCACTTCTGGGGTATGATGACGCTGGGCGGCCTATTCGGCTTCGCCATCGGCTATGTGACAGGAGTGCAGATCAAGTTCACCAGCCCCCTGACCCACAATGTGTCAGGCACGGCCAAGGCTTGTGCCCAGACTGTGCTGGCCGTCCTCTACTACGAGGAGACCAAGAGCTTACTCTGGTGGACAAGCAACATGATGGTGCTGGGTGGCTCCTCTGCCTACACCTGGGTCAGGGGCTGGGAGATGAAGAAGGTTCAGGAGGAGCCCAGCCCCAAGGAGGACGAGAAGAGCCTCCTGGGGGTATGAGTTCCTCCCAGGGCCCTGGGTTGGTCCACCCCCGGAGAACACTCAGGGTGGGGCCGGGCAGTAATGAAGGCTGCCCCTCTGAGCCCAGAATGGGTGGCGGGAAGGGAATATTGCATACAGACCTGATCAGAAGATGGAGGTTGAAAAGGAACCAGCGCTTTCAAGTAATGACAGAAGTTGCCAAATCTCTCTACCCCCTTTACTGTTGCTGGGTTTTTGTCCTCCCCTAGGGAGAAGGGCCCCCATGGGAATAGCCAGTTGGGTTGTCTGGAAGAGCACTAGCTCTTGGGGCGGGGGAGAGGATACCACCCCTCCCTGCCACCTTCCCAGGGCCTGTCTACCTCCACACCCTCTCTGGGTTGAGGACGGGCTGCAAGCTTTAAGGAACAGTTTTGGTGAAGCCATTAAGTCCTCACTTACACTCAGGGGAGCTGGGGGTGTGGTCCCACCACAGGCCAACTGAAGGGGATTAGGAAATCTCACACTTTCAGGCCCTGAGCAGGCAGCAGGGCCTCAGCCCTACAAACCAGCCTGCCTTCCTAGGAATTGGTGGGCTGGGCCTGAGGGAGGGAAGGGGCAGGTATTCCCTCTTCTCTGCCCTGAGACTAGCTGGCCATGTGGAAGGAGGTGAAGGGTCAGTTGTCCCCATGATTGGCCCTGGTACCCCCAGGGGCTGCTGGGAAGTAACCTAGGAATGGCATGGCTCGCGGGAAAGTGCCCTTTTCCCACCACCTGTACCCCCTATTTCCAGCTTCTGAACATGGGGGAACCACACATCTTTTACAGGTTAAGCTGGGTCATTAACACCTTTCCCCCTACCCCTAACACCAGTTTCACCTGCCTCACTCTCCTCTCCTGTGGGGCAATAGCCCCTCTGGTTTCCCGGCACCTGGTACAGCTGCCTGGCTCAGTTATAGCCTTCTGGTACTGGAGCCAGGGAGCTGCCCCTGCACGCTCCCACCTCTGTCTTCCCCAAGTCCTTCATCCCCAGGTGGAACTGATGGAGCAAGGGCCCAAAGCCTTCCACCTCAGCTGTGCTTGGCACTGGGTACCCCTAGGTCCCTGTGGGGAAGGTGGGGCAACTTGATAGTGAGCCTTTCTCCTTGCAGACAATAATGAGCATTTGAATTCTTCCCTGAGGTTCAGGTCTGAAAGAACCTGCTCATCCCCATACCACACCAGCCCTCAGGGGTGGCTTTCACTCCCGCTGCCCCTTCTGGGGGGCTCAAGCCCTGGATTTTGTACCCCGCATCTCCTTGAGGTGATTTCTGATGTTTTAGTCCTGTAGTGTAGGCCTGGGGAGAGCAAGTCTTCTCTCCTTGCCCCCCCATCCAGGTCCCCTCACAATCCCACATGGTTTCTAATGAATTTGGTAAGGCCGAGTACCCTGAATTGTTTGTGATTTAATAAAAATAAAAAAGACTATAATATATTGTGTGTGGAATGAGTGAAGGGAGGGCAGGCGTGGCTGGATGGGGTTTATGAATGGGCCCTGTAGAGAAGCTGTGCCTGTGTAAAGGGCAGGAAGACTCTCCCCTACCCTCACCAAACTCAGGTTCTAGCAGAGCTGAGGGTCCTTGGGCGCTGGGCGTATCTATGGAAAATAGTGCCTATGGCAATTAATTTTAAATTGCTGAATGATCTCTCACAGCTGGCAATGGCCAATAGAAACTGCTCAGTGGTGTCCTGTGTCTCCCTCCCGAGTGGCGCCCAGGGCACCTGCCATACCTTAGATACAGAGGCAGCGAAAGGCCTTGAGAGCCTGTTCTTTCTCTGGGAGGGGCTCCATCCAGAAGGGTCAAATACCCGTGGTCCTTCCTGGGAGGTGGATGCCTAGACCTCAAGTTCCAAATTTTCCAGTTGCCGTCGAGTCTGTTTCAACTTATGGCGACCCCATGCGTGTCTGAGTAAAATTGTGCTCCATAGGGTTTTCTTTCTTTTTGATTTATTTCTAATTATTATTTTTTAGTGGAAGTATACACAGCAAAACACACACCACTTCAACAATTTCTGTATGTATTCTACATGTACAATGTAGTGACATTGATTATATTCTTCAAGTTGTACAACCATTCTCACCCACCTTTTCCTAATTATTCCACCACCATTAACATCAAACTCACTGCCCTCTAAGCTTCTCGTCTAACCATTTGAGTTGCTATTGTCAACTCGATCCCATATAGATAATTCTTTAAAAGACCACAAAGATCAAGGCAAACATTCTTTGGTTTAAAGAACTCAGCTGCTAACCAAAAGGTCGGCAGTTTGAACCCACCGGCTGCTCCTTGGAAACCCAATGGGGCAGTTCTACTCTGTCCTGTAGGGTCGTTATGAGTCGGAGCTAACTCAATGGCACCTAACAATAACAACAACAGGCTAAGCTATTGTTTGGTTTAAATATGACTTCAGGGAGTAATTTCTGATTAAAAAAGATTACCTTAAAGCACTAGTATTGGGGGTCATCCATAGGGTTTTTAATGGCTATTTTTTCAGAAGTAGATCATCAGACCTTTCTTCTGAGGCCTCTCTGGGTGGACTTGAACCTCCAACCTTTTGATTAGTAACCAAGCATTTTAACCGCTGCACCACCCAGGGCCTTTGAAGAGCACTGTAACAGGAGTCAGGAGACCTAGGTTCCACTTCTTAGAAGCTACATGGCCTCAGGCAAGTGCCCAAAACTTTCCAGACCCCCCACCTTTCCTACCTGAGAAATGGGGATAATCCTTTCCCATCCAGCCACACAAGGTGGTTGAGAATTAATACATGTAACGTGCTTAGCATAGTACCTGACATACTGTGAGCTATTGTTACTATCGACATCAACAAACATCAGTCTCTTTATGGAGCACTAACTATGCACCAAGCAGTAGGGAGACAAACAGTGGACAAGGCACTAAAAACAAGTAAACAATCAAGTAAATAATAAACAAATAACCAAAATGGAGAATATCAGAGGTGAAGTGTCTTAGTTACCTAGCGCTGCCATGACACAAAGACCGCAAGTGGGTAGCTTTAAAGAACAGGAATTTATTGTCTGTTAGCCATGTCGGTTCCTTGTGAATATTAATATTATAATATCTAAAAAGCATTAAAATGTATTCTTTCTTTCGGTAAATATTTATTGAGTACCCACCGTGTGCCAAGCATACATCAGCGATCCAGACAGACCATAGTCCCTGTGTTCTTTTTTTTTTTTAAATCTGGAACTCTTCATGGATGTGCATGTCCTGCATGCAGAGGGGCCATGCTAATCTTCTCTGTATCGAGGAGTCTGTAAGTCACAGAATATATTAGTTAAATTTCTTTTGGCTACAAGTAAGAGAAATCAAACAAAACTACTTGTACTAGTTGTCTGCACACATGGCCACCTTTCATTCCTCCCATCCTCATATGCACATACTGCATCTCCCATTAGGAGGTGAAGTCTATTGACTCCTTGAATCAGAGCTGACCTTGTGACTTGCTTTGATCAATAGACTACAGAGAAAGTAACATTCAGGGCCTTCTGAGCCCATGCCATAGGAGTGCTGGGAACTTCTGCTTTCTCCTCGGCAACCCTGAGGTCACCATGCTATCAGTAAGCCTAAACTAGCCATGTGGAGAGGCCACATGGAGGAGAACCAAGGCACCCCAGCCAACAGCCCCTAGCCACCCACCAGATGAATGCAGCCACATAAGTAAAAACGTTAGGTGAGGCGCAGAGGAAAACTACTCAGTCAACCCACAGAATCCAGCAAGATAGTAAATCATTACTTGAAGCCTCTAAATTTTGGGATGGGTTGCTGCACAGCAATAGATAACTGATACATTGTTGTTGTTGTTAGGTGCTGTGAGTCCATTTCGCAACCCCATGTGTTACAGTGCCCCATAGAGTTTTCTTGGCTGTAATCTTTACTGAAGCAGATCACCAGGTCGGTCTCCCGAAAAGCCAATGGGTGGGTTCGAATCACCAACCTCTCAGTTAGCAACCAAATGCTTAACTGTTTGTGCCACCATTAGCCTAAGTAAATGGGGGGTGGGTTATTTGAAGGAAATGTGGGTTTCTTCTGGAATTCCAGAAAGATCAGAGAAGTCAGGCCTCAGAAAGGACAGGAAGTGGAAGCCTCTGGCGCTACCTGCTGTGGGAATTCATGACCTTGCTGCAGAGCGCCACCATTAATGTACCTCAGCTCCACTGCTGCTCAGTCTCACTTGTGGGTCAGCCTCCCCAATTCCTGGGAGAGGGGGTGTCATTGGGTCAAGTGCCCCCTACCTCTAGGCAGTGTCACATATGTCACCCAAACCAATGCTGCAGGCCCCCATTAGTTCGGTCCCAAAATGTTACCAGGTGGAAACCCCAGGTTTTGCTTGGTGTGACTCATATTGGCCAATAAATGAGAGATGGAGGTGGGAGAGTATAAAGGTAACTTTATTTTTTTGTGCAAGGAAGGGAAGCAATCAGGGCTGTTGCCACCAAGACTGCTTCAAGAGGGTGAGGGAAAAAGTTATTTTTAAGGGGTTTACAAGTAGGGAGTTCATACAAGTTATAGCAGCAACATTCTTAATCATACCACGCAAGGGCCAGGATTTCCAGGATTTTCACGGGGTAGGCCAAGCAAAGGAGCTGAAGCAAAAATAGTGAGGCTGTTCAAGCAACAGGGCTGGAATTCTGATGCAAATTATGAGGCCAGCCAAGCAACGGAACTAAAATTTTAATGCAAAAATGGTAAGGCCAGCCAAGCAAGCTGCAGTTGAATTTTCTGCAGCCTGGGGACCTCTGTATTAAAAGGAGCCACATACCCTGGCTCCTGTGAAAGAGCTAAATTTAGGACCTGAAACTGAAAAAGCTGAAAAAGGACAGCAAAGCCTGCTGCTCTGAAGCATCTCGGCCAGATGTGCCAGGAGCCTACAATGGAGGAAGGCTGGGGGTGGTGGGGAGTCCTGGGGTGGGTGAGATGGCAGGTGTGGGTCAGACAGCAAGCTGTCAAAAGATCTAGTCGCTGGAGGAACCCTGGAAAGCATGGCCCCTGGACTCTCTATCAACCCAGAACTAAAACAATTCCCGAAGCCAACTCTTCAAAGATTGGACTGGACGGTGGGACATAAAATGATACTCGTGAAGAGTATGCTTCTTAGCTCAAGTAGATACATGAGACTAAATGCCGAGACAGTAGCCCAGACAGCACCCACTGCTTTGGAATATCTCCCCCTCCACCTCCCCAATGTACTCAAATAGATAAGAAGATGTGCCTCAAAAAAGTTTTTATTTTTTCCTGACTTGATCTTTGTGCAAAAAAATGCTGTGCATCATTGCACTTGTGCAAGCCTCTCATTTTGCAGTTGAGGAAGCTAAGGCACAGAAAGATTAAAGGAGGTTTCTGAGGTCACAGAGCACATTAGTGGCTAAGCCCAAAGTAGAACATGGGTCTTCTGATCCTAATCCAAATGCCTTCTGTTTGCTCAAGGTCACACAGCTGACTGGCAGGGAAGCTGTTTTTTAAATTTAGTGAACCCTTGAACTTTACAAGGTATCAAGCACTGTTGAAGTGCTTTACAAATAGTAACTCATTTAATCCCCATAACAACCCTAGGTGGTGGGTATTATTATCATCTTCCATCTTACAGGTGAGAAAAATTAAGGCACAGAGGGGTTAAGTAATTTGTCTGATGCCACACAGCTAATCAGTGGCAGAACTA